ATAACGTAGCTCCATTTTCTGCCTTTAAAGCACACACAACCCACAATTCCTCTCTTCGCTCCGACGAAGGGTTAACGCTTGAAACGTCAGCTTTTGTAATCGTTACGGTGGCCAATTTACCATTTCAACTTTGTTGATATATCCAAATTATTAGCGTAGTCAAGCTGAGTGCACGTAGTACTTATCAATATGAATCATGGCAAGCCTCAGTTGAGTGTTGTGCTGCTTTAACATTCACACCCTAATATTAATAAGCATATTCTCCACATCTTCCAGCTGAACTCAAACAGTATGCCTTTTTAATCCATACTGTCCCAACACCATACCCCACCTGACTTCTACACGGACACTTTTAAAACTCTCGTCATAAACGACGACAGAAACATGTTTCAACTGGCCCTTGTTTGGAGACGGAAACGATTTCACGATAGAGGAAAATAGCACATCAATTACGGTTTTAATCAGCCGGTGAGCAGGTTTACAGGATTATCAAGTTATATAAGAACATCCGCCACTTATGTAAATTCTCTCTTACATCAAATTAAAAACACAGAACCTCATTTACTGAGATTACGATCAACATGTTATACCAAAAGCACATAGCAAAGGCTACATGCTTATGATTTTCTACTAAATATTATTTCTTGAAGGTGCACGTCACCGTTTATGTATCTTAGGAGCTTAGAGTATTGAAAATGCGAGTCGTGTTCGCGAAAGCTAAGGTAGGTACGTAGCGCTTGGAGTGGGCGTTTGCCAATACCGAGCCAGAATCGATTCTAGACGACTCTGCCCGATCCACCCCGGCTTGTCACGAGGTAAGATCTCCTTCCTGAATCGGTATTACTTGACCTAACACGACTCGAATTAACAGTTTTCTGTGAGCTCAATACAACCTCATGTGTTTTTAATCTAGTTAACGCCTTTTACAACGTCTACTTCCCTTAAGACTTAAAATGTAACGACGTACTGGTAGCTATACAATAACAATTCAATGATAAACGCAAACAAACTACATCAATAAATATTATACTGTTACATATATCCTAAACAATTGAACAAGTCTAAGTCTGACCTTCCACAACTTCGTTTTAATCGAAAACTTATTTTCATTTGCTTTCTGTCAATAATTTATGGAGAAATAAAATTGACCTCTTTTTTTACCTAAAAAATCTTTCATAAGCTTCGGCTCTTTTCCCCTAACATCATATATCCTATCTTTTCTACATGGTCTATAAATTGACGCACTTTCACTTCGTTTACTCACGTTAAAACTGAATGAAATTGGAAAAGGAACCAGGCACCCCTAATCAATTGCCATAATTGACTAATTATCATAATAAACTAATTATCAGAGATTCATCATAGACTAACATCATTAAATCGAGAGCACCTAATCTAAGAATAAAGATCACTGTTCTCATCTACTACAGCTTTTTAACACTTTCTAATAGACTGAACAGAAACGTAAGAGGAATGTCTTATTCAAGCCAAAAATTAGAACCTGGAACAATTAAATAATTTCTAAAGAAAGATTGGAAAAATCATTGACATTCCAAACTTTCAACAGTGTGCGATTTATAAAGAAGTAACCAATCGAAACGGAGATTACAATTTTTGTAGCTTTAGAAAGGTTTGAGCAGCACGACGATTCGAATTTCATTTCTGAATAAATACATGGAAAAGTAACATAAATAAATTAAAACTCAATTTCAAATCAATGTGCTTCACACAACCAACGCTATTTAAAAATCACTTGGAAGTGTAAACTTCAATTGATCACTTATACCTACATGTCACGTGAAAACAGTAAAGGTCACCTTGTTCGTCTTGGGTATATCAAAATTTAAGCCTAAATGAATTTTTATTTCCGTGGCTGCCCACTGTGAAATACAATAGTAAAAGTAAAACTTAGCTCAGCGCTATTTTCAACTGCGTGTCAAAAGTAATCCTGGAATGCTTCTATTTTACTGAACTTTGTTCTGTGATTGGTTAAGAAAGCTTGTGCCAAACTATTAACCAATCAGATGCAAAACTAAATACAATCTCCACTTGGTCATTCACATTTTGATTCCCACCTTTTCAGCATTTGCATGTGTTCACTTTGAGTTCTCATCGGCTAATAATGGCGGGGACCTTTGTTCTGATTGGTCACTGGGATTACTTTGCTTTTGATTTTTTTGACACTCAATTGAAAAACTGCTTTAAAGTGTTAAAAAGGTTTAATTTCTTTACTCGTGGTTCAAAGCAATGATACATGGAGACTTGCACTTCAAGCAGTCCCTTCTTATACGCAAGGTTTGATGGGCAAGTGTGAAAAAATCAGCAAAAAAAGTTAATTGTACAGGAGGAGCTCTGAGAGTGAGTGCCTCTCTCTCAGAAGCTTCTGCTGCACCACGACATCAATTTTTTTTTCATCTTTTTTTTTCATCTTTTTTTCTTTACTTGTGCTGGGACTTTGCCGAAAAGAAGGGGCCGCTTGTAGTTTAATAGAGACTTCAGTCTTTTAACATGGTTTCCTCAGGTTCTTCTGGACTATCTGGCAAAAACAAGTTGAACCACTTTTGCACATTGTAAGTGAAACGTCCTAACAAGAGAAACAAAGTTATTAGCAACAGAATGAAATGCTCAATTCAACAATTCTTGTCAAATTCTGTATGTTGAACATATAGATCAAACTAATTAATATCAAATTGAGAAGTGTTAATTACTTCATTTTCATTACAACTTTTACGACAGTAACATAAGTCAATCTGGATGATCTGAAGGTCAATCTGGCCTTCACTTCTCTTTAAAAAGATCAAGCTGAATTCAGAAGCAACTGACTTGAAATCATTTGAATATATCAACAGTGGTAAATTGGCCACCGTTACGATTATAAAAGCTGACGTTTCGAGCGTTAGCCCTTCGTCGGAGTGAAATCAACTGACCTAAAATGAACTTGTGCATTCTAAATATAATTTTGGGAAGGAGCATACTCATTGCCAGCAAAGCCGATTATTGTGTCTCTAGCGGCATGGTTGGTTGAAATTAGTTCACTGGTGTAATGAAAAAAGCTTAAAAATTTTTTGAATTCAGAACACTAACCACAGCATCCATCGCATGCATCCTTTGTTTTACTCCAATAACAACAGAAGAAATAGACAGGTATGCCGATAACAATGAAGATCAGGGCCATGGCTGACTCCTTAGGTTCCAGCCAGAATGGAGTGATCAGCAGATACAGGGCTGCCAAGTCAGCAACAATGGGCACAATTAGCCAGACCTGTTCCAGAGAAAATAGTGATACTAGTCAGGTTTGCATGAACCAGGATCATCATTTTTCCTCAGCATCATCAACAAAATGCCATATTGGAGCTAAGTGTGAGAATTGGCAGATAAAGGGCTAAGGCAGATTTGGCCAATACATGGTTTTTGAGTGAAAAAAAAAAAAAACAGAAAAAGAAACCAAAACACAAAAAAATCCTCTCTTTTGGATGCAGTGAAATATTACTATTTTGCAAGTTGTTTACGAGGCACTGAAAATTGCCCTTTATCCTTGAGCCTCTTACCCCTTTACACCCTTACATCAGTACGCATATTCTCTCGACTGTTCTCTGTACAAGCCCATGCTTTGCAAGACAATTCGAAACTGTCAGAACTTGAAAACTGGCTACAATTTCGAAAAACAACACCAATTACAAACTAATCAATGTACCTTGTAAGGTCTCTCAGCATTTGGGCGTTTCCATCGGAGGTACATCAAAGCTGTGATGACTGCAAAGTACGAGAGCCATGCAGCAAAGCTGAAGTAGTTGACAAGTGTGCTGAACTCACTGGAGTCAGGAATCAACATGATCATGGCAATAACGTGCTACAAGTCAATCAAAAAGGCACAAATTAAATAGAGGTTGTCGAATATTTTTGGGTGGTACTGTTTGCTTAAACAAGGGAGTTCTTTTTCTAGCCAGAAATTATTTTGGTGTTTAGGTGTGTGAATGCATGGGCATCAAACCAAATCAGTTCAATCATAAGTAGAAACAGCTGTAGTTCAGTCGCTCAGTTTTAAAAGCATGTGTTTGCTTTTTCTTGTTTCCATTATGACAACATCTAATCCATCATAAAACTCTTACAGTAGTTCTTCTTTTGGAGTAGTGTTATAAAGGAAGCTCACCTTTTCAGTTGAGAGTCCTAACAACTCAAACGCACAACTACTGTAAGGCCAATATGTCATAGAAACCTTTT